AATACTTTGTCAGATATGTTAACTAAGCAAGGGGTAAATAGGGAAGAATTATTTTGGGCTCAATTGTGATTCTTGTTTTTCTTTCCTAGTTTACTTGTAAGATTCAAGGAGGGGCTGCAGCTCGTGCCTCTCGCTGGGATGATGTATGAACTCACTCTAAATTTGCTTTTGAATCAATAAATTTATTATTATTCATCAAAAAAAACATTTTCAAGCATGTAAAACCCACAATCTCTTTTTTCCCTCAATTGCATTATTTCAAGTAGCTAATGTGATGTAAAACATATTACATTCCTGATTCTACGAGCCACCTTTGTGCCACGCCCCTCAAGGCAAGCCCAAACAAATCCATGTTAGGGTCTTAAATTCTTAATTCTCATATAAAAAATAATGATTTTATAATTTTAATTGCTTTCTAAGAAGATGTTTTATTAGAATGAATGAATGAACAATATTGTTCATAACCCTATTTGCTAATATTGTTCATTGACTTCATTCATTCATCCTAATAAAATACCTTCTTAGAAAGCAATTAAAATTATAAAATCATTATTTTTATATGAAAATTAAGAATTTAAGACCCTAACATGGATTTGTTTGGGCTTGCCTTGAGGGCCATGGCATGGGGGTCCGGGGGTGGAGCCCCCGGCCCAGCCGCTAGGTTCAAAAAATGCAAAATATTTTCAAAAGGCACACGCCTGGGCTGAGACACAAGGCGCATCGTTTAAAAGGGCTGTACCTAGGACCTAGGCAAGGCGCATACCCTAAAATGCGCCTCGCCTGTGTGCCTAGGCACGCCTTTTAAATCACTGGGTAGGATTATAAATGGCACCAAATGATGAATGTAATGAGAAAACTCAAAACTGCCAACATTAGAATGCCAAACTGTTTTAAGTTTGAGTTAAACACCTATAAACGGTGGATTGTCCAGAGTTGTAAATAGTAAAGTATGGGCTCAATGTTGTTTTGAAGATTTTTTTCTGGCCATGGTTCAAAATTTCAATTTCCCTATGCATGGGAGCCTTGTAAATTTCATTCCGATATCTGAAAATTTTGAGGAAATTGGGAAATATTAACAACAATTGAAAGAGTATGGAACTTATAAAACTTTAGGTGTTAAAAAAGGTATAATTACAAATCTTAGACAGGGTACAAGGCCTAGATGAGGAGGAGGAGGTTCTTTAAGATAACCTCTACCTAAAACTGTGAGACCATATTAACTATTACTATGATTTATGTTATTATATAGTTATTATTAAGAGCTATTTATTCAAATGAAATTTTCAAAAGAGCTTTAAACTCTGAAAACATAATCCAAGTACATCTAAACATCTTTTTCCTAATTTTATGCAAATATGTGACTTAAGAATTTTTTGCACCTCATGATTGTTTCTAATTGTTTTTGGAAACTTTAGTGAAATTTACTCAGAAGGATTGTTTCCTGTGTGCATCTCCATGTCTCCATATCTTTGTCCTAAAGGGTAAAGAGTTAGACTTGAACAAGTCCAAAATATCATTAAGAGGTAATCATGAATCATCAAAAAGTGAGATAAATTGGTTTTGTATAGCCAACAATATATAGGATCAAAACAGAAAGGTGATTGACATTCTCACCTGATCTGAAGCATAAGATGCACATATGAGGTGAGGGAGACCACATTTTCCACATAAGTTGGAATGATAACAGAAATATGGTTTTGGTTTTTAATCAAATCTTTATTGTTAACCATCAAAAAAAAACATATCTTTGTTGTTGATGTTTTAAGAGGAAAGAAAATTTTCTTAGGCACTTAAAATTTAAAGAATTAAGAGATATAAAGAAACTAAAAGTAAAAAGACTGGACAAACAGAACTAAGTAAAGAATTTAAGTTATACAATGTGTTGTTTAGTAGAAATAGGGTAAAAATAAGAATCTCAGAATTTTAAACAATATAACAAAGAAATGAGGATCAACAAATAAAGGTTAATTAGATTTTTGGTTTTGATAAGAGTATGGAAATAGATGTTATCAAGTGAAGAAATGTATGTGGAGACCATGAACATTGCTACAAAGCAAAGAAAAAGAAATAAGAAGCGAAAGCACAATACTGACCATCTTGTGTGACAAGAGGATAATCTGAAGCACTGAGGTTAACAAACCAGTCCCAATCAATGCTTTCCCTCAACATAATAGCTACAGCCTGAAGGGTACAAGCAATCATTGTAGGGCCCTTGTAAGTTACCAAGTTCGACTGTTCCATTACACGCACATTCTTCACTTCTCGAAATGTTGGATCACTTTTTATAGTTGTGGTCAATTCTATTCTTTCGCGGGGAGGAGCCTCAAGATCCAAATGCAAAATATATTGATTCCTGGGGTGGTACACAGCCTGTAAAGTCCTCCTCATTCTCTGGGTATCACCTTTTGTTCCTGAAATGAGATAAGCTATTCTTGGTGCTTCCATGTTTGAACGTCCAGCCTGATCAAAAGATATCTTCAAGTCTGATTCCACAAAGTAGTCACTGGAATCCTCCATTGGTGAAAATGAGATAAAGTCAAGGGACAATGGATCTCCATCACTGGGAGAGGAGAAAATCCCAAACAGAGTGGCCAAAAACAGAGTAAGGGAAATGAGCAGACTCGCAAAAAATGGAAGAATCCACCTCCTTTCAGTAAATGCCCTTCCAGAATGAGGATGGGCATTTTTCCTCATGCTTGTTCAAACTAAAAACGGTCTCTTTAACAATCCGTGACTTCTTACCGTTACAATCCTCGAGACAGACAATCCAAAACGTCTGATACAAGAGAGAGCCTCCAGAAATAACAACAAGGAAACCAAAGAGAAGCAAAGAGCTTCCGTAGCAAAACCAAAGCCACCGTTTCCGAGGGATGATTAACATTTAAGCCGAGGCTACTGACTTACGGAAAGAGACATAAATTTCCAATAAAGCTGATAGATTCAATGTTAACTCTTAGGTCCAACGATGTTCACCATTTATCACCAAATATATAGTCCTCCCTGTAGAATATAAAACGGAGTTTGGTGAAAAAAAAAAAAAAGATTTGGAGCTCAAACTCGTCTCAAACTTTAGTAAGGAAGAAATAGGCATACCAAATCAAACAGAAGTTCAATTATTTTCCAGACAGAACAACAAAACGAAACCTGAAGGAGCTCATCTTCTCAAAGTGAGCAAGCCTTCAGTAAAAATAGCATTTGAAGAAATTTCATGGTAACAGGAAATAGTGCAACAACAAAAAAAAATAGTATAATAGCTGGATTTCTCTTTCTCAAGAAATAGCTATAGATCGAAAGTTTTCTTCATAAAAAGTTCCCAGATCTGATAGGGGGAAAACCATACACCATGCATTAAATAGCTAAATTTGAGGTCAAGCTGAAACGTTGATTGCAAGGTTTAGATATTTCAAGTAGCAGCAAAAGAGGGGGAAAACCATACACCATACATTAAATAAAAGAAAAACAAGAACAGCTGAGGTTCAGTAAAATAAAACCGCAGAAATTAGAAGCAGCATTGCTTACAAGAGAAGAAACGAGTCGAAGCAAATGTATGCCACAAAATCGACAAAAGCATCTCCGAACAAGAGCCCTAGCAGATTGAATTGAACTGTTGCATATCAGATCTTGAGTTTCAGATAAGAAAAATTAAAGCAGGGAGGAGGCGACAGACAGAAAGAACAGTTCAGGAGCCGTAATGAAATAAAAGAATGACCTTTAAAGAATCCATGGATGGAAGAATTTGATAGAAAAGAAAGACCTCAATTAATAAACCATCAACACGCTAAACAATTCCTGTTGGAGCCTTGTACGGACTTTTGGACTCTGAACACGGTCGCTTTCTCTCTTCTTTGTTTTTTTAGATTAAAAAAGGGAAAAATTTTCAAACACAGGTGGGTGCACAGTGAAGTAGCTTTTCCCGGTTAAAAATCCGGGAGAAAGTCAGACATTTATGTAGAGAAGGGTAGGTTTGTGCATTCGTGCGCAAAGAAATGGCCCCGAAGCTAGAGATTTATTGGCACGAGTCTTAACGGAGACAGCAAAAGAGAGCGGTAGCTAAAAAGCCTAAAACACAAATAGGTCCCGCTTAATCAGCTGGGCCAAAAGCCCGAAAAGTCGGCACGCCGAGTAAAGAGTAAATCATCTTATGACACTAGGCATTGACGCATTGTGTCGGTACTAGGTACTTAGGTAGGTCCCGCAACTCTCATTGCTCACTATTTGCTGTTATGCGGTGTAAGGGGGCTTTTAGCGTTTTGCATGCTTTTTTATTGTTTCTGGGAAAATCTATGATCATATCGGATGAGATGAACCAATCAACATTCAATTTTTGTTTCCATGAATACGGGTTATTAACCACTTTCAAAAACAAATGTCACCCTCCCCCTTCTCTCTTCATCTCCAAATTCCAATCCCATGCCCAGCGTTTATGCCAATAAGAAGCAACGAGTCCCGCTACAGAGAGAGACAACCTTTATTGCCAATGAAAAATGGCTTCCCCAGCTGCAATCGAGTCCATTGTCGTCTTTAAGAGGCCAGACAACCTTCGCTGATGGAAGGTAATAATTAATTAATTAATTAAACTCTTCAAGTACTTATTATTCTGTTAACCACCTGCAGCCACATCTATAGACTGATAGACTGTAGTCTATAGGAGATGAGAGGTGTATTTTTCTGCATTTTGGTTATTAACCGGATTTCTTTTGTTCTAGGATTTTGCGATCGAAGAAGAGTTCCACAATGCACATATTCGTGGGCAACTGCCGACGTGGTGAAGTAACTGAATTGTAGCACTGGAGATTGAATTAGTTTTTGATTCATTAATCTGTCTTTGTTTTTCTTTTTTTTTTTTGGGGGGGGGGGGGGGGGGGGGGGGGGTTGAGTTCATGAGGGTAAAGATCAATTTCCGTTCACATTACTAAAATTGCTAATTCGTATAATACAGCACTGTACTGGTAATAATGGTCTTTCTTGGTAGAGCTCCAACTCCAACATAACAAATCGTAACAAAACAAAATATCAAAATCTCTCTAGCTGGTAACAAATTTAGAAATATGTCCAACCCAGAAGAAAATACAACTCAATTACTTTTTACTGATTGACCAAGTGTTTCAGCTTCTTTGTTAGCATTTAGTTCCTCTGAAAATACAACTCAATTACTAGTTCCCTGTATGTGCTTATTCTCAACTCCTCAAAGCATTTTTTTCACTTACTATGCCTTGTGTTTGTTGATTTTTGGTTTACAGACTACAGTTATGCCACTAGGAGAGGAGGAACTTCATTTGGTAGCCATGTTATCTAGGAAGAATGATAAAAAATATTTATGTTTTTGGGGTTTTAATGTTGCACCAGTGCTTTACAATTCTTGTCTTGCCATGCTAAATCTTAGATGTCTTGGCATGGTATTTGATCTTGATGAAACACTTGTAGTTGTAAACACAATGCAATCATTTAAGGATCGAATTGATGCCTTACAACGGAAAAAAAAAACATACAGAGGTGGATCCCCGATGCATTGCTGGCATGTTAGCAGAGGTTAAGCACTATAAGGATGACAAAATTATTTTGAAACAGTATGCATAAAATAGTTAGGTTGTTGACAATGGAAAGGTGATTAAAGTTCAATCTGAGATTGTTTCAGGCTTCCAGCTTTGTCTGACAACCATCAACCAATTGCCCGTCCACTTATAAGGTTACAGGAGAGGAACATTATTTTGACTCGCATAAATCCTAGGGTATGTATTCACCAAATCCAAATCCTTAGGTCAAATCCATAACCCAATTATAGATTTACAATTTCAAAAGGAGAAGTTCGACCACAAGAGGGAACTCGAAGGAGATAAGAATGGGTAATGAGAATTTGGTTATGGATAGGTTAAAGAGTGTTTTAAATTTTAATTAATATATAAAAAATAATTACCTGTTACTTAAATAAATTCGGTAACTGCTATATACGTGGAGTAATAGAGGTTTTAGATATGGTATGGTTTCCAATATCATAGTCGGACCCATTGTTTCTTTCACTTGATTTTCATCTCAATTAATAAATATTGAGAGAGGGGAATGTGCACCAGAATTTGAATTTGAGATATAGAATAGAAAATTTGAGCCTGACAATGCTAGGTAATTTGGACTTTGGGGAATACTGTAAATGTGCTTCATATGTATATATGTATATAGGGAATATACGCACTATGGGCCTTATAGGGAATAGTGTAAATCTGCTTCGTATGCATATATGAACTCTCGTTGAATTTTCATGATATTTGGTAAGATTGATAGTTTTAACCATGGTTTTTAAAATCGGATCGGACAGGATGGTTGGACTGGAAAAACTGGGAACTGGTCATCTGATTGGTTTCGTTTTCTCCAAAAATTGGATTTTCCCCTAAAACCATTGATTTTGGTCAGCGAACCGCTGAACTGGGCAGTTAACTGTTCGAACGGTTTTGACCTTTTTTTAGATTTTTTATTTTTTTTACTTTTCTGTCAAAATGGGTCGAGCATTTGGTTCGAACAGTTGGACCGTTCGACCTGGTAACCGGACCCCTGACTGATTCGGTTTTAAAAGCCATGGTTTTAACAAATTTTAAGGCATGTTTTTATTTAAAATGAGAGTAAAATTCATATGTAAAGGTTACATCAAGATCCTAAGAGTACAAGTTTGTTCCATTGAATGGATACAATATTGCACTCTCCTCACAATACCAAAATGTCAAAAAAAAAAAAACATTTTTCCCCTCTTAATCATTTTACTTTTTTATGGCAAACAAACACTCACAAAATCCGAACAGGGGTACATAAATACCTAGTTCGGCATTTGTATCACAAACAAACGCAGCCTAAGACTTAGTTCGGAAGGAGTTCAAATACAAACATGTAGAGTGCAAAACCTTGCATTTATATTATTTTGTATGTATTTGTACACATTCCAAACTAAGCCTAAAAATCATTTGACAATAAAGCAAATTTATCAATGCAAAATTAGACCACTTCAAATTTATCAATACAAACATGTGTATCAATGCAAAATGCACTACATATTTGCATTTGCACTCTTCCCTAGGCTCAATTTGTTTTAGGATGTAAATTTCTTTTGCATGAGTGCAAAAGCATGATTGTAAATTCTTGTTCACTTTGGTTCAAGATAGGTTTCATTTGGTTTGTTCCTGAAGCAAACTTAGAGAAATAATGCAATCTCACTTTATATGAAGATTCCACTTGGCTTTATTGGTAAAGCACTAACAAGGATCAAAGCTTGGATACATTAGGGAAATGCATACAAATCACATAAATACATTAACAAAAACAAATCTAAGGCTAAATTATCTATGAATATATAAGACATAATCACATGATAAATGCCCACTTTAATAGGCTATATGAAAAGAAACATTACAATCAACAATACTATGACTCTAGAACATGTACACATCATACAATAATTATCACTTTATTTCAATTTTTTTAATTATAAATTTTTATTTTTATTAAATTTTTGAGAAAATTTATTTATTTAGTATTTTTATATAAATAATAACTATTTTTTCAAATAATAAACATGTTTCCATTTTTAACATATAATTGTTATATTTTACATATAATTGTAAAATAAAACATATGAATCATTTAAGGTAGATAAGATAAATTATTTTTATAATTTTCAGCTTTTGTTAAAGTTTTTGGGAAAATTAAATCTTGAGTTATTTATTTTAGCTTTTATAATTATATTTTTCATTCTTTATTAATTTTGTTGGAAAATTTTATTTATTCAATATTTTACATAAATAACTATATTTTATTCAAATGATAAATATGTATTCATTTTTTAAAATATAATTTATATGTAAAATAAAACATATAAATTATTTTTATAAATTTTAGTTTTTATTAAAATTTTGGGGAAATTAAAATTTAAATTATTTATTCTATTTTAGTTTTTATAACGGTAATGGTTAATTTTTATTGAAGTTCAAAAACAATGCCAAATCATTAAATAAATTTCATCAAACTAGGCATGATAAGCTTTCATATTGATGCTCGTATTCATCAATACAATGTGATATGGCTTGATGCAAATGCATATCATGCTAATACATACAACTCATGAAATAGGTATCTAGTCATGGCATATCTTATATCCATGGCTGTTGATATGAATACGACACACTCTATATCAAGAATATCATATTAATACTTTTAAACCTCTGATACAATTTATTGATAGAGTGAATAGATCTGCCATTTCTTGAAATCACTCTTCTGATTCAAAATCGCAGTGTAACATATAACCCCTTATTTTGGTGATGGAATAGATAAAATAAATCAGAAAATGGATTTTTGTTCAAGAATGAAACCTTATTGGATTGTTCATATCTAATTCATCCTTTGAAACCATATTACATCCTGGATCTAATGAAATAGGATAAATTGATACGGTATTTTGTAAATATGTAATTATCTTGAACATATCAACCATTTCTTTATTTTCCAATTACTTGGAAAGTCTCTAACTAGTTATAGCCAAGACTTAGGATCCATTCCCACCTTCACGGTCTCAGGGGTGTTATGGGGGTAGGGAATAGGCTACCCCCAACCCACTTTATATGAAATAGAATAGAGGTAGGAGGTAGGTTGTTCATTTGGGAGAGTGATTAAAGTAAACTAATGTAATCACCACCTCATATGAGATACAATCAAGGGAGGGTGAAGGTTATGAAAAATTTGCATCAATTTTAGGTATACAAAGTTTGTAATGCCAAAGAGTACAAATGAAACAAAAAGTGCAAATTTTGCATCAGATAGAAGTGTAAATAATAGTTACAAACAAATAAATGCAAATCTGAACCAAGCATAAAAATTGTATCCAGTTCTGAGTTCATCTAGGAAAAGTGCAAATACAAAAATATGTTCACTGCAAATAAAAATGTTCATTTACATGAACCTTACATATTTGTATTTGCAATCTTCTCAAATGGAGTGTG